ATGCTTATATGTGAAAATTCACTATTCCAGGTAAAAAGTGAATTTTATCATATTACTCAGAACCACTTTAAAAGTTTTAGTTTAAAACATATTTTCATTACATCTTTCTGTAGGTTATGTAGTTTCTAGGCTAAACTAAAGAGATTCACACCGCATTGTGTGCAAAGAAAATATTTATGCCATTTATTGGAAAAGAACCATGGTTTTGTTCCGTGCCTACCTACGTGAAATGAGTTTGATTCGGTTACACTTCACAGAAGACATTGCGCCAGGGACGTTTACTGACCAGGTAGATTTAGCGTGTTATTTTTGTGTTTGAACAGCTGACACTATTTCCCTTTCTGTGATATTAAATCGAATGTTGGCGTATGTCATGGCCGCGTCGTTGCTGTTGGCGCTTGGCCAACCATTCTTTATTATTATATATTTTTCGAGTGATTTGTTATATCGACAGGAGACCTTTAGCGATCTTCCTTAGCATAACGGCATTTTTACTTCAAATATGTGAAAAAGATATTTCTGATTTGAAAAATGACTTTTTTGACATTAGGCTTTACCGCAGAAGATAACAAGTGCGAGTCGGACTCGCGTATAAAGAGTTCCGTACCAATATTTGTAAAAACGGCCCAAAATCATGTCTAATGTATTGTGTGGGCCGTCCACTTAAATATTTTTTATTCTGTCTAAGATTCACGGTTCATGAGATACACTATTCACTACCGCACTGACCGACTCTTTTTTGTACAAAACGTTATTGTTTCCGCGTCATCGTCTCAAGGAGTACGAAATGTTCAAAAGATTTTCGCCCTTAAGGTGTATTACCGCCAGTGTCCCCGACTGTACATTTTAATATGAGATCCTTTGAATTTTGTTAACTTTAGAGTCGCATATCGTACCTCTTTTAAAGACTCACGACAACACATAACAACTACCATGACAGACTTATGCTGAATGCGATAGCGTTGAAAAATATACATAATTATAGTGAATGTGTATTCTACTAGCTTTGTAATTTAAATGATCCATTGGGCGGGTTTCATGAATTATTTCAAATTCATCGTAAAGAAGTAGATTCTGTCCGCGACTTCGTTAAAATCTGGTAGCCGCGTAAGAGAGGACCTCTCATCAACTATAAGCGCAAGACAGGTAACGCCTTCGTTAGTCTTCCTCTTGGTACGTATACATTAAGGCCCATTTACACGATGCCATTTTCTTGTACATACAAGAGCAATAATTGAATGCAATAAATTGCGCGCAATAATTTGTTAGACCATTTGTTGTTTAGACCATGCAACTCATTTATTGCTTCAATTTAATTGTATACAACAGGCAAGAAACTTGCACCGTGTAAATGGGTCTTTAGAGACACACAGTTCCAACTTTTCTAGAATACGTGGAGGCAAAAGTTTAAAAAGATAAGGAGCCCTTGCGACACTTAGCTCGGCGTACGTTATGCTATTATTATAATATACATATCATTTTTGGCATTTGACGTGATAAGTACAGATTCTTTTTATTAATTAAAATAGCAACGTATCAAACATAAACAAAAAAAACGTGGCACTTAATAAATGGCAACTATTAGCCTTAAATAAAAAAAATGTCATAAAACATGACACATGTTTTGAATCACGGTAGCTCTGTGTTCGCCGACGCTTACTTTTCAAATCTCAGTTCAAATAACAACGAAATGTTAACTATTTTAACACGTCTTACCACGTGTACTATAAAAAACATCAAAAAGAAACCTGGAACCCAGGAAAACATAGCTATGTATTTACTTCCATCGCGTAAGTTTTTTTACCGCATTTTGTAAGTTTGCCTTTTGATTTTATATGATGAACTAATGATACGTTTGTATCTATGCAAGATTACTATAAAGCTATAAAAAAAGAAAGATCGCCAATGATAGAGGCACAAATGCGGTGTTAAAATAATCTATCGTAAAACTTTTGTACCTGAGCGCAGTAATTGTTTGATGGCTTCCCCATCGAACACTCGAACAAGTTGGGTTAGCTATTAGTGTTTATTGCTGCAGCCGAACAAAGGCGACAACAATCGAATTAAATTGTACTTGGTGCCATTTAAGCTTGTTTATATAAAACTAATTTAAGGATTATTTCGGGTTTAAATAAAATATTCACCACAATATCATCGCTTGATGATATGGCGGCATAAAAGAATACTGCCGTGCCAATAATCTAGACCTCAACGCCTCTAAATGTTCAATTATCACGTACACTAGAAAACGAACCGCTTTGGCCACAGCTTATAATCTAGGGGGTCAAGTATTACCTAGATACAATGCCAAGTTGCTTTTTGATGTTCACATCAACACCATGGTAAAGAAAGCCACTAAAGCATTGGGGTTCATAATGCGGATTTCCAAATGTTTTACCGAAGCCAAAACCCTCAAAATCCTATATTGTACGTATGTAAGAAGCCATTTGTAATACGTTTTACAAATTTGGAATTATTGCTACCGCACATACATTGATCGCATTGACAAAATTCAAAAGCGTTTAATTAAATACCTTTGTTTCCACCAGAATATTCCATATCCCACCGATAACTATCTTGAACTCTGTCGAAAATATCATCTGTTACCGCTAACAATTCGCCGTGAGATAGCCGACTACGTCTTTATACTAAAAATTTTTAATAATGAAAATCATTGCCCTGAATTATTAGCATTCGTTCACGAATCAATTCGTTTCACGCCGCCCTTGCATTTGCCTAAAGCGTCATCAAATTACAGGCAAAATAGTTATATTGTGCGTGCAATTGCAAACTTCAATAAAATATGTAAACAGCACGATTTTGATCCATTCATAACGAGTATGTCATCGGTATATTATATAGACTATTTTACCTATTAAATAAACAAATAATTAAAACTATAACTAAACGCGAAAAAATTTCAAGATAATGAGTTGTATTTATTAAAATTTGTAGAAAAAGGAATGAAAAGTTTCTCGCCGCTATGGGAATCGAACGACGTCTTCGGGATTCGCGCCCTGACGCTCTAGCCACTAAGCTAAACGGCTGATTTCCACACCGACGAAATTCTCAACGTCCTTTATCTACATTGTTTTTAGCATTTGAAGCAATTTGTATTTAGTTATGCGTATTTGAATAAATGAAAATAAAATAAATAGTAATATATAAATATTGCGGAACATATTGTTACAAAACGTTCTAGTCCCAAACTAAGCTCAACTTGTTATCTATGTACTATGATAACTAGGTAGTTGATAAACATACTAAAATAATTTTTTGGTAAATAAATGTTACCAATAAACAAAAACCCCAATAACAAGAAGCATTTGTGAGCCCTCGGGTGTCGCAGGTGTCCATGGGCGGCGGTGATCGCTTACCATCGGGTGAGCCTCCGGCTCCTTTGCCCCTTTTCTCCACCAAAAACACTATGTTCATCACACAATATTTTTGAGTCCCGTTATAAATGAAACCATTGCATATGTAATATTTAGATTTTTTTGATTGCAATCTCACTTGTTGAAATATACTTTTAATAGAATTTTATACGGTGGTAGGGCCACGCAACAGTGTTCGCTGTTGCACGAATGGGCAGGTCCGTCCGGGTTAGTACAACTTCCTCACAGAACACCGGCGTAAAGTAGAAGTGTTGCAATTCTGCGTTTCGTCAGGTGAGTGAGGTAGCCGGGGCCCACATTATTAAGAGTTGGCAACGCATCTGCAACCCTAAGAGTGTTGCAAATGTCCATGGGTAGGCGGTAATCACTTAACATCAGGTGAACCGCCCGCTTGTTTGCCACATCCTCACATTAAAAAAATAATACAAGGTTTCTTTTAATCGTAAGTAATATTTTACTCTCTTAAACCATTGTCATCTAAATATTAATATCAGCCGTTTACTTGAATCATTACGCAAAGAATAACTTGCTCATAAATTTCGGTTGTGCTATTAATACTTGAATAGACGAAAGTTTGAGCAATATCAAGTTATGATTCACCCAGAGGGCACCGACGCCGACGCTTAAGGATCGGACCTTTTCCGTTTCATCTTCGCATTTTTACAACCCAATAAAATACCAAATATTTTAAAAGTTCTTCGAAATGAGTTTTCTGTAAGTTAACGTTTTAAATTAAAAAAAATTACCTTTAGCGATTACCTCCTTTCCAAGTTTGCTTAGATTCCTGAACCTTACAAATTATTTATTAAGTCAGCTGTGACTCTATTAGCTTTTGTTATATATTATCAGTACTTATTAACTGTGAGTAAATGTTAACTTTAATCCAGTTATAGAGAATGTAAATGTCTGATATCAGCAGATCAGCACACATTGTACTTGATTGCACACATTTCCTCCGTGTGAGCCCATTATATTTTACATTAATAAACACGAGTAGTTTAGAGACAATAAAGTAATAACATCATTTGAAATATTTTTAATAATTAAGGAACATGTCGAACATGCAGTTGATCAATATTACAAATATAACATTTATGTAATTTGAACCTTGCCTTTAATGACAGCGTTTTTACTAGTAACGTAAATAAGTTATTATTTCTCTATTGATAGTTTCTAATATATACATTTTTTTTACATATGTAACAGTTTTAAAATATCGCTATACATTTTTCAATTGATAAATCTCAAACCAACAGATAGAAATTTGATTTATCATGTTCACATCATTGGAAACATTCAATAATAATAACTTACGACACTTCCATATTGTCCTCGTATAATGACTAGCTTGAAAGCGTTACTTTAAATTACTATAAATTACTACACTTAGATGTCTATAAATGTGTCCTCGATCGTCACGACACTTGGAAACTAAGTAGGCTTTGGTCCCGGCAAGTGTCGCGTGCCTCCTTGCACTGGAGTCGTTCAAGTTCGGCGCGAGAACGTGGTCGCGTTGAATTGTGTGTAGCACGCTTCGGTGCCGGGCGGGACCTTGCAGCCGCAAGCGAGGCGCTGGGCGCGTGGCGCTCAGCTGAACCGCCGTCAGAAGGGGAGGCGCGCGTGGCCGTTCCAGCGGGGGGCGGGCGGCGAAGGCGGCGTGGTGGCCAGCGGCGAGCCCGTCGCCTCCGTTAGCTCCGTCATCAGCGAGGAGGGCGGCGGCGCCGGGTAGTAGACGGCGGGCGACGGGGAGGCGCGCCGCGGCCGGGAGCGGCTCAGCCTCTCCGAGCGGCGCAGCGTGCCGTTGCGCGCCAAGCGCAGCGACATCCGCTCGCCGCAGGAGGCCAGCGAGTCGTCGCGGGTGTGCTCGGGCGAGTCGCGAGTTCCCCGCGCTCTGATACGCCCCGCACAGAACAGTTTCAGGAACACCCGCTTGAACTTCTCACCGAAGATCACGTAGATCACGAAGTTGACGCTACTGTTGATCGTCACCAGGAGGTTGCTAGTCTTCACCAGCGGATCGAGGTTATCGAATTCGTCGCCGAGGAAAACCTCGAAAGCGTTGGTGACGAGCGGCAGAATGTTGCACAGAAAGAACACCAACACGACGACCAGCAACATGGTCGCCAGACCGAGTTCGCGGCGCTGCACGCGCGAAAGTCTCGCGCGTTCGGCTTGGGCGCGGCGCACTTGGCGCACGATGCAGGCGTTGAGGGCCGCCAGCGCCGAGAACGGTACTATGTACATCACCACCAAGTACATCCAGTGTATGTAAATGACTACATACTTATCGGTTCGGAAGTCGAGGTCGGCCTGAACGCAGTAAATCACTTCGTCGGAGATCGGGTCGCTGACGGGGATCACTTCCGCTTCGAAGAACTTCGGTGCGTTGTAGGCGAAGGCAAAAGCCGCCGTACCGAACACGTACCAACGGGCGCGCGACGAAGTGCACAGAGCCTTCGCGCGGAACGGATGGCACACGGCCACCCAGCGCTCCACCGTCACGATCAGCGTGAGGTAAACGGACATGGTCTGCGCCACGTTCGCCAGCGGGTACGCGTAGGGCGTGATGAGCGGGCACACGTTGTAGTAGTAGTAGCGCAGGCCGCCCGTGTACGGGTAGATCGCGGTGAGGCCGAAGAGGAGCACGGAGGTGAGTATGAGGAGCGTGTCGCAGGCGGCGAGGCCCACGAGCAGGCAGTTGATGGAGGAGCGCATCTGCGGCCGCGACAGCACCAGCACCGAGAGCCCATTGCCGAGCAGGCCGGCCGCGCCTATGGCGTTCAGCAGCACGCCGTGCACCACGAACCGGACCAGCTTGTCGGAGGGGGGCACGCCCGCGTCCGTGTCGCACTCGAGCGCCGACCGGTTCATGTCGCCCGCTGCGCGCGCCCAGCGGCATCGCGCGCGCCCCTCAGCCCGCCCGCCCCATCTGCGAAACACGAACGCATTCTCTTTTCATTTTCGAATTTACACGGCTGCGGTTCTCATCTTAACTGCATACGAACGTTTGTATATGGTTATTAATGACCAATGTCGAACAACTGTTAAATACAAATAATTTATCTGATAGAATTCGAACCTCCTGGAATACGTGTACAGACGGTATTGCCTTGCCACTCGGCTACGCTATATAAGATTTTTGTTAAAAGTAAAAAAATCTTGAATCATTTGTATGCAACTATGAGTTTTTTATTTAAGGTTAGGGCGAAATAATTCTTAAATGTTGATTTTGTTGATAATGCTACGTTTAGTTGTTAACGCGATAAAATGCGTAAAACTTTATTAAACTATATGCACCATTGGAGTCGTGAAAAAGATTCGTCGTTGCATCTTCTTCTACGGTCTTCAAGAAGAGCGGCGTAATGTATAAGCATAACATTTTTTGTCGTAACCTTCAAAGCGAATACCTGAAAATACTACTATCCTTTTTACTCGCCTGTCGAATATTTCCTCTGATACGTGTATTTGCACATTCATATATGCCAAAATTTTATCGGACGACGTGCGGTCAGGTTACCCTTGTGTAATATAGCATGGGCACCTCTATCGAAAACGCAATTTAGTCGAGGTAATAACCGATACATGAAATATGTATTCGTAATCAAGTGGAATATATCGATGGAATGCAATATTCGCCATTGTTACGGTGGACAACAGCGCATGTTGTGTAGGTATGAGATGACGATGACGATTAGGATGCTGCTTCTGATCATTGCTTACATCATTGCTACATTAAATACATGTTAAATGTCTAATATATAGGTGAAATGGAAGTCATGAGCGTCCTTTTAAACTAACACCATTTAGGTACATAAGACTAGTTACATTAAGACTAAAATTATGTTGATCAAAATTATTTATTAAGACTAAAATTATATTTAGGTGGTAGGGCCACGCAGCAGCCTCGGCTGTTGCACGAATGGACAGGCCCGTCCGCGTAAGTACCACGACCTCACAGAAGACCAGCGTAAAGTGAAAGTATGACTAATACTTTCGAGTTTCGTCTGGTGAGTGAGGTAGCCGGAGCCCAAATTTCAAAAGGTTGTCAACGCATCTGTAACCCTCGGGTGTAGCAGATGTCCATGGGCGGCGGTATTCACTTACCATCGGGTGTACCGTCTGCTCGTTTGGCAACTTTTCGCATAAAAAAAAAGAAAAAAAAATCACTATGTAAGTACGGAAATCCTCAAAAAAAATTCAGTTAATATTGAGTATACACGTAACGAAGAAATAGGTCAATAAATTGAAGACAAAATTATGTAAAAATTCTGTATTAATACATTAAATTTAGACTTGAATTAATAGAAAATTAAGTAATAATATTGTAGTGTGTAGTAGTATACTTGGCATAAAAATATCAGTAATAATTATGAAAACAATTTTAATGAAAGAGTGAAATTTTTAGACACTCACGGCCACAATAATATTCTTCGGAACAAGTAAATATCACAAAGGCCAACAGAAATACGTTTTTTATCATTTATTATTTTTGTATGTGAATCACGTTGGTGTGGAGATTTCAATTACATTTCCAATTTCGATATTCATGTCCGATTGCGAATGTGCGTGCCACTTGATTCCGATTTAATTTACTACAAACGACGGTGTCTCCGTTCTCCCATTCCCGGTGTCTCCATTATAATACACATCTGTAGTACATATTCGGAAGTTTCCATGGCGAATTAATTTTTTTTTTAAATCTACAAATAATCGCACCCCGCGTGCAAATATCAAATGAACTTTATATATAGTTAATTAATATTTTTTTAGACATCACGAATTTTCTTATATCTAATACTACATAATATTATATCTACTACCTTCCTTTAATGTTAAAAGGAGATGTTAAACTTATTTGATAGATTATTTCAGAAAGTTCAAGGATTTCTTAGAAGGATTTAAGATTTTTTAAATATTTTTTTAGTTTTACATTAAAGTGTCGAGGCGCGTAGTTCATAAACTTGAGCAACATGCATTAGAATCCCGGTACCGACACCAGATAAATTGATTATATTAAATGCTAACTGATCACTTGCTCTGCGGAGTAGAAAAACATCGTGAGGTTACTTGCATATTTAAAGAAAAAATATTTAGAAAGTCCGATCCGCAATTGGATCGCGTGGTGGAATATGCGGTACCTAATACCCTACTATGACTTTACATATAACTTTATTAATTATCAAAAAATAGTTACAATATTAAATCTTAATGTACTAGATGTTATGTAATTAATCTATTCGTATTGTTACTGCGGTTCTTATTTTCGCACAGTTTAAACATTTGTAATATAGGATAAAGCTGAATTACTATGAAAGACCCGGCCAAGTGCGAGTTCGTACCATTATCAATGAAAATGGTAAAAAGTCGTGACTTTTGTATGGGAGACCCACATAAATATATATTTTTTTATTTTTTAGTCTTTGTTGTTATAGCGGCAACTTCACATCATCTGTAAAAATTTCAACTGTCTACCTATTACGGTTCATGAGATACAGCCTGGTGACAGACGGACAGACAGACAGATAGCGGAGTCGTAGTAGTAGGGTTACGTTTTACCCTTTGGGTATGAAACCTTGAAAAAGAAATCATTAGTTTTCTAAAGAGAAGAAAATTGAAATGGTGAACGAGATATTGGAAGTAAAAGTTTTTTTTATAGGTAATTAAATATTAAATGCTTTGTTATTTATTTTAAGTGCAATGGTTTTGTTAGATTTTAAAATTTTGATATGGAAAATACAGCGAATGTCAAAGAGTAAAAGGTGCAAAAATAAAATTGTTATTGAAACACTTAAATTTTTTTGTCAGTTCTCGTTTATGAGGAATGTTAAAACCAGAGTTCAATAGATAACATATAAAGGTTTCATGAGGTGTTTGTATCGTTAAAAGCCTCCGATAACATAATTTATGTACCTGTACAAAAATGATATTGTGAGATATGGAATCGTGGAAATGGAAATGAATATGCGACTCGGGAGTACTTTACGCTATCGACAAAAATATAAAATATTATAAATTCTCTTGAGCCTTGCATTATAATTACTAATTCCCCTGTGTCTCGTCAAAACTTTGTTGGTAACCAAGGCCTCTTAATTGATGAGAATCTACTTCCAGGAACATGTCCAACAAAAAATAAGTAACTGTTTTGCAGCTCTCAAAACTATCTATAAGCTTAGAAATTTCATTTACAATAAGTTACGGTTGCAGCTATGTAATACGCTTGTTCTATCTCATTTATTTACATTATTGCGATATCGTATACGGTCCGTGTCTTTTCCAAAAAACTTCAAAGGCTATTCAAAGGGTTCAAAATGCATGCTTAAGATATTGCTATTCTATACCTAAGCGACATCATATATCAACATATCTGGCTGAGAAAGGAATCTTAAACATGTCGTCTATAAGAACGCCCTATTATACAATAAATTTAAATGCGCATCCAATGTTAATAACAGACTTAGGGCACGTACTAAATCTCTTGTTGTACCAAGACATAATCTAGTGCAAACACGAGGCTGCTTTAAAATTGTTGCATCAAAATGCTGGAATTATTTACCATCACCTATTCGTGGGCTGCGGTCAGTATATCATTTTAAAGCAAAATATAAAAAAGGGATTCTGATGCAACAACAGTTCTGGTATCACATGATAAGACATTGCAGATGACATTTGTCATTATAATGATACGTTTTAATTTCATGGCGAAGTTTTTAGCTTTTGTTATTTTTTTTTCCATTATTATTATGTTTTTGTTTTCAATTATTATAATTTTTAAGTATTCTGTTAGTTAATGTCAGCCTGGGGTAGAATATCAGTGTAGTGCACAATGTGTGTAACAAACCTGAACCCCAGACCTTTTACTCTAAAATCTGACCATTATAAATGTATTTTATATTACTTGTACCCACATTATTTGTGATTTTAGACCAATAAAGACCTATTATTATTATTATTGAAGGGGATATTCATTTGTTTTCTCATCTGGTTGTGTTTATAAATAAAAATAAACATATAGATATAAATATTGTATACAATACATATATAAGTAGGACCCAACCAGACGGAAGCCCTCGGCAGGGGAGACCAAACGGCCGAGGGCTAGGGTTAAAGAGAGAGAAAACGGCGGACGAATCGGGCGGTATCGAGGACCATCGCCTTCTGCATTTGAGCTTGGAGCGTTCCGTCCCGGAGTCCCAGTCGCCTCAGATGTCCGGTGAGGCTGACACAGATTTATTATTATTATTAAAAATACAAACCAGTTGAGAAGAAGGATGAAGACGTAACACATATACAAGTTTACTTAGACACGACGCATATCTTTGAAATTTGTTTAATTTTGACTAAATTAATATTATTGAAATAAAATTATGGGTTCATGTTTAAATTTAGTAACTATAAAAATTGAAGGAGGCTGGATTAAATTCACAATAATTATTGTTATTTATTTTGAATAGCGTAGGTGAGCCGTGATAGCCCAGTGTCCGGGCGCTCGCCTTTAATTCAATATACTCGAGCAACCTGAGTTCGATCCCCGGTGCCGACACCAATGAAGTTTTTAACTTTAAGTGCTGACTTATCACGTGCTCCGCGGTGAAGGAAAACATCGTGAAGAAACCTGCATATTTTCGAAATAATAACAAAAAAAATATATTTCGAAGATATGTGAAGTCCGCCAATCCGCAGTGGGGCCGCGTGGTGGACTATGCCTTGATACCCTCTGCATAGAGGAGGCCCTTGCCCAGCAGTGGGACATGTATAGGCTGTTACTTTACTTTACTTTTATTTTGAATAGATACCTATAATGGGAAATTCAATAAGAGATGAAAGGTTATAATTATAATTCCGCCATCGTCTTTTAAATCATAAACATTGGTATAGTTACACAAGTTACACCTTCTAAAACCTCGTGACCTCGGCCTTCAGCCCTGTAGTTTCGGGCTCATAGAATAGTGAGGGAGTCGGGGAAGGTTTATGCTTCGCCGAGGCGTGTTCATGCGCGTGATAACGCCTAGATTTAAACTCGTACTCGAAGTATATACAGAATATCAGTAACGCTCTACATAGTGCACTCACGCTATATTAAAGATATAGTTAAATATAAACATTAGCAATGGTTTCTTTGTTTGGGTCTATATCGGTGTCAATGCTGTCACGGGTGCGATGCGGTGACGGGGCTTGGCAGAGGGCCAGCCAGCGTGTGTCATCTGGCGCTGAGTGCGATCGTCTCCAAACGCCGCCGTGGGGTGTGAACGCCGAAGCAATATGATGGATCTTTCCACGTAGTGTTTTCATTAAGCTGTTAATTTAGATGTTTTATGTGATGTGCAATAGATGAAGAAATACACGTCTAGTGTATTCATATAAAGTAGTTGATTTGAACACCCAAACGTTTACACTCGCGCTGTTTTTATTTGGATTACTTATGTTTAATTGATTATAATACATTATTTGCATAGAAGTGTGCGTTGATTTTGGGTTGGTAATTCGATGTGTTTACCACCAGAGTGTTGGGATGATGATTTTCGATTCCTTCGAAATACCCTTTGGTGAGTTTTTTAAAATATTTGTGTAGCATTGGGAAGGCCGCAATGGCTGTGCAGGTCGACGTTGCGTAATATATAGATAGTTTATTTTCAGTATAATAAAATCAAACGTAGGACGCTTTAGATATTGTTACAATACTATGCATTCTATTAATCGCAATATTTTAAATCGACATTCCAAATAT